TTTAATTTTTTATAAGTTCATGTACTTCGTTAAACTGTTCACGATTTAATCGAAAATAATTGGTAAACTGTTCGTCACTGAATTCCACAGTTAAAGCGAATTCTCCATGGGTCTTCCGTTTTTTCAGGTAAGAACTTCGCTTTAATTTTGTCTTTGTTGAGAGGAGAAACGGCTCAATATCATTTTCGTCGTCTGAATCTGAATCAGAACTTAAAGTAAGCAAGTTGTCCACTATGTTATTACAAGAAATCGCCATAATGTAGGTATACTATAGTAATTTTACTAAAATTACCAAGTGTCACTTTGAGCTAGGTTAAAACTAAAACTAAGCTTAGGTTAAAGTTAAAACTAAAACTATGCGTGCTCATCTTGCGGTGATAACCTGCTAGCCGTTTTTTACTGCGCGGCTTCACCCTGCCAACGCTGCGTCACCCTGCGTTCATTTTGCGCCTTACCTTATAGTCGACTGTTCCTCTGTACGTATACCATTTAAGTGCGTTAGTTTGTAGTTTACGTTATTTTGTACAGGGAACAAGGTTTAGGTTTTTGAAGGCAAACGACGACCTGTCTTCACGTGTTAAAACGAATCGGTTTTTGTTGTGGTAAATCCATCTAAGTGCCTAAAGCCTGTGGGCCGTAATAAAATCCAATAGGTTATTATGGAAATGGAACAATTTTTGATTGAATGTGGCGTCGGTCATTTGTGGCCCATATTTCAGAGTAAGTATATACTTATAAATTTGAAAACGTTTATTTGGCATATGTATAGGCATAGGCAATCATTTAAATAAAATATGAATAATTATGTAGTATTGCATGTAATATGTAGATCAGTATTATAAGAAATAGATTCAAGTTCAAACCTAAAATTTGCAAATTAGCTTCTATTTTTTGTAGTACTATAGTATAGTAGTACTATAATATATAGTACTATTTATTACAGATTCTAAGAATGCGTTAAGGTTGTACCTGCTTCCGGCGTTAATTCCAACCAAGGCACGGACCAGATTATCCAACAAAAAACATTGGAAACCATCCATCTGCGAAACAAGGGATGCAGTCATCCAACTCGTCAAAAGCCCCGCGGATGTAGAACAAATCCAAGCGGAAGAAGCGGTAGAAACTATGTTTCAAGAAGGTTTGATTAGGCAACTTAGTGATTTAGGTTTTATTACTCAAAATGGCTATTTTATAATATTATAATTTTGCCTATTTTTATATCTTCATTTTTGGAAACTTGCGTCCAGGGGATATCCTGTTTAAGAAGAATGTTTTTAAGGTTATTTATTTTTATAGAGTTTTTTATATGTTTGTTTGCAGGTAAAAGTTATTTGCACTTTTATTACTTACTAAGTAAATAATGTGTTATTGTTGGTGTCCTAATAGATAATCTCTTTCAATAAATATATACTTAGTAAATGTTCTTGTTTTTTTTTAATTTTTAAATTAGTTAGGGATAAGGTGTTTTAGATTGGGACCATAAAAATAGTGGTATATATACGAGAATCTGAAGAAAAACTGTACAGGGTTTTCTTTTATATTTTGCACTCTATCTAGATACCTTATTTTTAAAGCTATGAAAATTTTTAAATACAAAAGTGTAAGGATTTTTTCAATATCATTATTATTATATATCCAAAAAAATCCTTATGGGTTTTTCGCCACCGCACTGCAAGAAAAATCTACAAAATAAAATAGTTATTTTTTGTAAACACTTCTGCGTTAAACCTAAACGGACGCTGCTTGTCAGAAGTTGTGTTTACAGTAATAAAAATTTGCCTAACAAAGAAAAAAATGCTTAACGTTTCGGAAAGTTTTCTCTTTCCGTCGTCGGAAGCAAAAAAATATAAAGAATCAAGAAAAAAAAACTATTTAAAATATTTAAATAGAACTAATTACTACCTTAACAATTACTACCTGATAATTACTTAATAAGGTAAAACCAAACAGCCCAAACTGTCTGTATGATTATTTTTAAATTTTACGTATGTTATGTTTATTTATGTAATGTTCTTTAAAATCAAAGAAGCGATTGCCATACATTATTATTATTATTTAAAATTATTTTAATGTATGGCAATCGCTTCTTTGATTTTAAAGAACATTACATAAATAAACATAACATACGTAAAATTTAAAAATAATCATACAGAAAGTTTGGGCTTTTTGGTTTTACCTTATTAAGTAATTATCAGGTAGTAATTGTTAAGGTAGTAATTAGTTCTATTTAAATATTTTAAATAGTTTTTTTTTCTTGATTCTTTATATTTTTTTGCTTCCGACGACGGAAAGAGAAAACTTTCCGAAACGTTAAGCATTTTTTTCTTTGTTAGGCAAATTTTTATTACTGTAAACACAACTTCTGACAAGCAGCGTCCGTTTAGGTTTAACGCAGAAGTGTTTACAAAAAATAACTATTTTATTTTGTAGATTTTTCTTGCAGTGCAGTGGCGAAAAACCCATAAGGATTTTTTTGGATAGATGAATCCGCCACATAGGTATAGACATTTTTTATTATTATTATGTTTTAAATATATCACAAAAAAAATCCGCATCGGAAAACTGAAAAAATAATCAAAGTTGTGTTTTTAAAATTAAACAGTCTGTCTATTATTACAGATAAAATAAAAGTCCACTTCGCTATTATTATACAGGGTATTTTAATAAAAATACATAAAACTTTTTTCACTTTCCGATGTGCATTTATTTTTTCTGATAGATTCAAAAGATGCTATGGAAAAAATCATTCAACTTTTTATATTGGAAGTTTTTTCCTAGCTTCAAAAATAAGGTCTCTATAGAGGGTGTCAAATATAAAAGAAAATCCTGTACACATTTTATTTTGAGTCAAACAAATCATTTTGATTAATCCAAACAAATAGGTATTTTGGAATAAAAAAACGTAAAAACAAGTCAAACAACTTGCGTATTCAGGTAAATTGAAAAAGTATTTGGTTTTAAATTAATATTCCTTTGAAGCAAACGTAATTTTTCTAAATGACGAAATGAATCTACTTTCCGGGGGCCATGATATTAATCACAATAGCAAACTTTTCAATTTAAATCCCTTTATTGTCGCTTAGAGAACTCGCCTTTCATCAAGAAAAGAAGCATCCTGTCATTATATCTGCTAAAACTCAATTATGCAAGTTAATGTTTAAATATGAGCATGTTAAAATGCTTCATGCCGGGCCACAACATTTACTTAGTAATATACGAGAGCATCTTTTGCCAATAGGAGGTAGAAATTTAGCTAAACATACAGCGCGATCATGCGTTACATGTTTTAGGTTTAAACCCACGTATATTACTCCTCTGATGGGAAATTTACCGCAGAAACGTTTAGAGATGAACTACCCATTTCAGGTGTGCGGAGTAGACTACGCGGGCCCATTTTCGATAAAGGATCGAAAGGGGAGAGGCGCTAAAACGTCTAAATGCTACTTAGCTTTATATTTTTCCAGAAAAGTTTCCGGCTCCAGAAAACTATAAACGAAAAACATACTTTTTGCGATGCAAGGAATGTTCGAAAAGAAACGTCGTACAGATGCAAAGGATGTATAGAAAAGCCAGCACTGTGCCCCACATGCTTTGAAGATTTTCACTTAGGCAAAAGATCTTAAATTTTTGTTGGTGGTGGTTTATAAACCGTATGAACAATTTAAAATTCTGCTCTTTTTTGCATTAAAAATAAAATACGTCCAATATATTTTTTTTGTGGAATTTTCTACAGAACTTGCCTTTTTATTTATAATAGTATAAAATGTGTTCTTTTGTTGAGTTCTTTGTATGAGTTTACGTTATTTATTATTTGTAAGCCAAAGTTTATTTTTTATAAATGTTTTGTTCATCTGAAAATGTGTTTTTTACTTTTTTTTAATAAAATATTACTAATTTGTGTTTAAGTTTATGTTTACTTGGAAGCTGAAATTCATGTTTTCTTGTTTGGACGGTAATAACCGTAGTTTGTAAACACAGCCTCAAAGTACACCAAGCGAACGACGATAATAACCGTCATATAAAAAATCTAAAAAATGGTAAATTCATATCGATCTCATCGTAAAATATATGTTCCAAACAAAAAAAACTTATATTTCGTTTGAAAAACCCATTTTGAAAAACTTGTCCATCTAGGGTACATGCCTAATAGATAATAGTGATGAGCCAAACCGTGATTTTCTGTTCACAGGCTTACCTGTGACAGCGACTTTGTATTATCTGTGACTCTTAACTGTGACTGCGACTTTATGATTATGAATCCGAAAGCACAATCACGGCTAAAATATAAGATACGATACGAATGATACGATTCTGTTGTTGTTGTTATACTAATTTTTATTTGTCCTTTATCCAAGGCCGCTGAAATAGAAAACACTAAACAGTGGGTAAAAGGTATATTAAAAAATAAAAATAAAACAATCTTTTATTTAAAGAAACCAACGGGAAAAGAATAAAATATGCAATATGCTCATAACCATAACGAACGAAACTTAACAACACGAGATAAGTAATACATTTGTCAAGGATTACGGATCTGTGGCGGAATACATGTCTCTGTGGTGGAGAGTTATTTTATTGTTGCCAACTTCACATGCGACCACAGACCACAGATAATAGTTTTGATATCTAGTGACATGTAACATTACTGTATCTATTAACTTTTGTACTCTTTGTATCAAAAAAGTTTGTAACACGTTTAATTTAACACAAAACCGAATATTTTATTTTGGAAGACATAAATTACCCAGAAATAGTTCACTCAACGTTAAAATAAACCGAACATTGGTCCTTCGAGCCGGATGGTCTCAAGAAGCAAGGAAATTGGTCAGAAAAGCCGACAAGAAGCAAGTGAGTCCCTTTTGTCCTTTTAACCTTCATTACTGTAGTGAGATCATAATCATTTTGAACTGTAGCTTTGTGGAATTTATTGTCTTTATAGCGAATTAGGTTTAAACCAGTTTTAAACAAATACGATTAAAAACAAACAGCTTATTATCGATATGACAGAAATTGAGAGATTAGTACGGAGACGAGCAGCCTTTAAGGCTCAGATAACAATCCTAAACAATTATCTAAACGAGTTAGAGGGTAAGTTTATAAATGCTAATATAACCGACGATATAATACTTACAGAACTATCACAGCGTAAAGATCGATTTATCAATTTAATTGAGAAACTTGATGAGGTACAATTGCAAATAGAAGAAATTACCACAAATTTTGATGTAGAACTAGATGAACGCACAGCATTTGAATCAGATTTCAATAAAACATTAGCACGAGCAAGGTATTTCTTGCAGAAAAGTAAAACGACTAATATTGAACAAGACAATGATAATCTTTCTTCTCAAAGATCAGAAACGGGTTCTGATAATGTGGCCTTATGTCAAAATTTAAATAACCTCAAACTCCCAGCCATTGAAATTTCTACTTACGATGGTGATTACGATACTTGGCTTGAATTTAGAGACACGTACGAGTCACTAATTCATACAAATGTTAATTTATCTGATATACAGAAATTCCATTACCTTAGAGCATTTTTGGGTCCGCGTGTAAGAGAGATTATTGCTAGTTTGGCATTTTCTGCTTTAAATTATAAACCTGCTTGGGAATTAATTTGTAATCGTTTTAATAATAGTCGTATCTTAAAGTAAAATCATGTTTAAGCCTTGTTTAATCTCAATCAAATTCATGAAGAATCATCTCAAGCTTTAAGAAAACTTATTGACAATGTATCTAAGCATTTAAGAGCCCTCACCATTTTAGACGAACCTACAAACACATGGGATACATTGGTAATATATTTAATTTCTATAAAACAAGATAATGAGACATTAAAGCATTGGGAGGAAGCAAAATCTGGTTATGTAAATCCAACTTTAGATAATTTAACCACATTCTTGAAGCATCGAGCAGACATGTTGGAAACATTAGAACAAAGTAAGAATTCTAAACGAGTCATTCCAAGGTCAAAGGGTGACAATAAAACAAAAGCCTTTGTTGCATCAAAACCGTACTGTGTATATTGCAAAAAGGACCATTACATTCAAAATTGTGAGGCATTTGTAAGGTTATCAATCGAACAAAGACGAACACAAGCAATGAAGAATCACTTGTGTCTTAACTGTTTAAGGTTGGGTCATACAAGTAAAATGTGCTATGCAAGTTCCTGTAAAACCTGTAATGCTCGACATAATACCTTATTACATGAAGAACGAGTATCCAGTTCAGAAAACGAACAGACAGTTAATTTATCATCACATATTAATTTTAATGGAGATCAGGTACTTCTTTCAACAGCATTACTAAAGATTTTTGATAAAAATGGGAAATGTCATGTAGCACGGGCACTTTTAGACTCAGGTTCTCAAAGTAGTTTTATAACCGAAGACTTTTGTAATAAGTTACAGTTTGATGTAATACCAACCAAGATAACAGTAAGTGGTTTGAGTGAAGCTCAATCTAATGTGTCAGGAAAGATTTCTATACAAGTACATTCTAAGGTAAACAACTTTTCATTTAAAAATTCTTTTCTAGTTATAAGAAACATTACAGAAACCTTGCCTAATTTTAAAATTAATATCAAAAATTTGAACATTCCAGACAATATTAAATTGGCAGATCCTCATTTTTATAAGCCAGAGAGAGTTGATGTGCTTTTAGGAGCTGACTGTTTCTGGAACCTTATGTGTGTTGGACAAATCAAGTTAAATAATGGATTATTATTACAAAAGGGTAAATTAGGTTGGGTTATTGCAGGACGTATGCAGTCAAATCCTTGTACCACGACAATACGTAATTTTTCTAAAGCTAATGACATTGACAAGCAGCTCACTCGTTTCTGCGAATTAGAAGAGTTTCGACACTCCAAACCACTGTCAAACGAAGAAAAATTGTGTGAAGAAGAATTTGTAAGGACTTTCAAACGTGACAGTGAAGGACGCTTTGTAGTAACTATTCCTCTAAAACAAGGTCCTGAAGTCCTAGGCGATAAATACGATATAGCAAAACCAAGGTTTTTATCTCTAGAACGAAGATTTAAACGAGATCCTGAATTCAAGAAACGTTATATCAATTTTATTAACGAGTATAAAAATATGAAACATATGTCCAAGATAGAACATCCAGATAATGCAACTTTTAGTTATTACATGCCCCATCATGGCGTTATAAAAGAATCAAGTTTGACTACCAAGTTACGGGTAGTATTTGATGCTTCATGTCCAAGTAGTAGTGGATATTCTTTTAACGATTTGCAACTTGTTGGACCTACAATCCAGTCAGATTTATTCTCACTCCTGCTGCAGTATCGAACGTACAACTATGTAATTAGTGCTGATATAGAGAAAATGTAAGGATGTGTCGAGTAGACCCACAACAGAAACCATTACAAAGAATTTTGTGGCGTGAAACACCTGATGAGCCACTCTGAAATTTATGAATTAGACACAGTAACCTATGGCACATCTGCAGCGCCATATTTAGCCATTAGATGTTTATATCAGTTAGGTGGAAATAGAAAAACTAATCCCACAATAGCAAATGTAATACAAAACCACTTTTATGTTGACGATTTGTTGAGTGGTGCTGATACAATTGAAGAGGCTATTAACATAGTAACAGAGATATCAAAGGTCCTTAATACAGCAGGTTTTCGTCTTCGTAAATGGATATCTAATAATAATACAATACTTCAATCACTGAAAGAAAGAAATGAAGCAGATACACTTGATCTAGGTGTAAACGAACTAACCAAAACATTAGGCGTGACGTGGAATGGAAAGGAAGACTGTTTTCTTTATAAGATTGGAAATAGTTTTAATAAACATATTACAAAACGAACTGTCTTGTCAGAAATAGCTCAGATTTTTGATCCAATGGGTTTACTAAGTCCATGTATAATTGTGGCTAAAATTATCCTAAGAGATATTTGGATAGAAAAACTTGACTGGGATGAATCTTTGTCACAACCCTTACATACGAGATGGCTAAACTTTAGAAACGAATTAAGTAATCTGAATAATATCAAAATTCCTAGACAGATAACGTGTAAACACGCAATCAACATTGAAATTCATGGATTCAGTGATGCATCGTCTTACGCATACGGAGCCTGCGTGTACTTAAGATCGCAAAATGAAGAAGGAAAAATACAAACAAGATTGATTTGTGCTAAATCAAAAATAGCTCCATTGAAGGTTCAGACGATTCCACGTTTGGAATTAATTGGTGCTTTACTGCTATCACGCCTAATAAAAAAAATATTAGAAGCAACCAAACTAGTACCAAGTAGAATAGTATATTGGTGTGATTCTACAATAGTTTTGGGTTGGCTTAATATGAGTCCAAATCAACTACAAGTGTTTGTAGCTAACCGAGTATCAGAACTTCAGACAATCACAAACGTAAGCGACTGGCGACATGTTCCATCCAGTCATAATCCAGCCGATTTGGTGTCACGTGGTGTAAGACCCAAAGAATTACCATTTTCTAATCTTTACTGGTTTGGTCCAGACTGGTTGAAATCAACTGAGGACATATGGCCGCATACTCTTGAAATCAATGTAGAGTTACCAGAATTACGTAAGGTTACATTGATGGAAACGGTATTTATCAGTGAACCAATAATCGACTTTAATAATTATTCTAATCTATCGCATTTGGAACGTGTTTTAGCATACTGTTTACGATTTATTACAAATTGTAAAGCTAAAACAGGAGAAAGAAGCAAGGGAGCCTTAAAGCACACAGAAATTGCAAATGCTCATTTATATCTAGTAAGATTTGCTCAGCATGAATCATTTGCGGAAGAAATATTTCAGCTTCAACAAGGTGAAATTAAAAGAGGAAGATTATCCCATATTCAGCCATTCTTTGACAAGGACAAGATAATGCGAGTGGGTGGTAGATTAGGTAATGCAGATCTGGACTTCAACCGAAAATTCCCAATTATCTTAAGCTCGAAACATATATTTTCTAAATTACTATTTGATAGGGAACACCGGCGTTTATTACACTGCGGACCTCAACACCTTTTAGCATCAATTTGTCAATCATATTGGCCCCTAGGAGGACGTAATTTAGCAAGAAAAATATATCGAGAATGCGTTAAATGTTTTAGAACACACCCGAAATCAAGTGTTCCTCTAATGGGAAATTTACCAAAAAATAGAATTACACCTGCCCCAGCATTCTATAGAACAGGAGTAGATTATGCGGGGCCATTTTCAGTAAAGGACAGGCAAGGACGTGGCTGCAAGATTACAAAGGCTTACATAGCTTTATTTGTTTGTTTTGTGACTAAGGCCATACATATCGAACTTTTTCTGATCTAACTAAGGAAGCATTTTTAGCATCATTTAAACGCTTTATTGCTCGACGTGGAAAACCGATTCAAATGTTTTCAGACAACGGCACAAATTTTGTGGGTGCTAATTTTGAAATGCAACGTTTATATAATTTCTTACAAGAAAATAATAAATCTTTGTCTGAACATATAGAAAATGAAGGAGTTAGCTTTCATTCCATTTCGCTCACCTCACTTTGGAGGCTTATGGGAGGCAGGAATTAAATCTGTCAAATGTCATTTAAAGCGCGTAGCGGGTAATGCATTACTAACTTTTGAACAATTTTACACGCTATTAGTTCAGATTGAGGCTGTTCTCAATTCTCGCCCTTTGAGCCCTTTATCCAACGAACCCTCAGATTTAACACCTCTTACTCCCTCTCACTTTTTAATCGGCCGACCATTAACGTCATTACCTGAACGAGATCTCGTAGAGATACCTGAAAACCGATTATCAACATATCAACGAATCCAGCAGCTACAACAACATTTTGGTCCCGGTGGTCATTAGAATATATTTCCGAGCTCCAACAGCGGTCCAAATGGCAGCAAAAAGTGAACTCCCATTAAGATTAATGACTTGGTGGTCATTAAAGAAGAAAACCAACCCCTTTAAAATGGTCCTTAGGCAGAGTTATAGAAGTCCACCCAGGGAAAGATGGAAGTGTTCGTGTAGCTACAGTGAAAACCAGCACAGGTACAATCAAACGTTCATGTGTGAAGCTGTGTCCCTCTGCCAAATCAAGCAAAATAAGAAGTCACTTCAAGATACATTCCCTCCATCTATGTTTCGATGATGAAAGTGGATGTTGAAAGGAAAATGTCCTTTCAAGGTGGGGAGTATGTCAAGGATTACGGATCTGTGGCGGAATACATGTCTCTGTGGTGGAGAGTTATTTTATTGTTGCCAACTTCACATGCGACCACAGAACACAGATAATAGTTTTGATATTTAGTGACATGTAACATTACTGTATCTATTAACTTTTGTACTCTTTGTATCAAAAAAGTTTGTAACACGTTTAATTTAACACAAAACCGAATATTTTATTTTGGAAGACATAAATTACCCAGAAATAGTTCACTCAACGTTAAAATAAACCGAACAACATTAAACAACAAATATTTTCCTTTGTATTAAAATAAACGAAATATATAAAAAATGAAGTTTTGTTACGGTTATATATTTTAAAGGGGAGTTAATTTTCTTATATTTATTTTAATCATACATCTTGACAAAATGGTGAATGTGGTGATTTATTATTTTTATTTATAACCTTGAAGATGACACGTTAATAAAATATAACAATACATTTCTTAATACATATTAATTATTTATTTATTTTATTGTTTATTTTATTTATTACAAAAATTGTCCCACGTGATAATTAATAATCCAAAATTAACTTACCCAAACTGTGGGCGATTTCCTTGCAAATAATACAAAAGATGCAACGCTATTAGTTTCGTCTCAATCCAGCCGTAGTTGTATGATATAATTAATATCAATTAAACGTAGAGAATTATTAACCTTTCCCAAAATCAAATGAAAGGATTTTTCAACTCAAAACGTGACTTCACTGCCAGCGTGCCGAAAAGAAAAGAAAGGAAATCACCAGATAGGTGGGCGCGTGGTTGGAATTTTAATCTCGAAACCCCCTCCTGATATAAATTTAGCTATAAAATCCCTAGGTACTTCCGCAATCAGTTAAGTACCAATGTTGCCAGGATTAATCCGATAATCAAAGAAAATTAATAATAAATCAAACAATAATAATAAGTTAAATGCAATTACAAATAGATACAATTGATAATAGTTTAAGATCATTAATAAATAAAAGTATTAAAATAAGTTAAATGCTAAAATTAATTATTTAGAGACTAAATATGAATGAGGTGAAATATGATTCAAGAAAACTTCAAGAAGCTGGCAACACCGTTACCCGCGTTGACGATTTGACGTTTGCCTTAACCACAAATAAATTAATCAACAAAAATCACAATCAGGTTATCTATTAATAATAATTATTGAAGGCGTTATTGTTATTAAAAGGTATGTACATCGTTTCTGATAATATAATTAATATAATATGGTTTATTTCCCTTTGTTGCAACCAAACAGCTAACAAAATGCAGTGAATATTTCCACTTGAACAGAAGTAAACAAAATACCAAAAAATGAGTATATAAAGTGGTTATCATTAATATTACTTTAATTGACGTTATTTTAGATAAATGAGAAGTCTTTACACGATGCATTTACCCTTCCATAACCTGAAGAATAATACCTCAAGATCGAGTCAAAGATATCATTTACAAAATATTACATTTGGCCAAAAATACAACAATATAAAGTTAAATTATGATTTAGAGTTAACGCACATTTACTTTACTTGTAAATAGAAAATAAATAAATAATTAATATGTATTAAGAAATGTATTGTTATATTTTATTAACGTGTCATCTTCAAGGTTATAAATAAAAATAATAAATCACCACATTCACCATTTTGTCAAGATGTATGATTAAAATAAATATAAGAAAATTAACTCCCCGTTAAAATATATAACCGTAACAGTTTCTAAAAAAAAATAAACAGTATAAAGGTAAAACTTTATGTTTGGCTTTAAAAAAACCTGCTAAACTAAAAAGGAACCAAACCGATTCGTAGTGATAAAAAATAGTAGTAAAATATAAAATACATAAAAAATTAAATCACTTCTAAAAGTCACTGTCTTTAGATCACTTTGTCAGATATCTATCCTATGAGACGTACGTGGTGACTCGTGACTGTGAACTGAGTCACGACCGGCGCCATCGGCAGCTGCGTTCGCGACGCGCGACGTCCCGCTCTGTGAAGTATTTTCTCGTTACCAGAGAAATCACAATTAACTGTAATCGTCACGCTTTAGCAAGTCACCGTTTATTTTCAAATCAGTCACAGGCCGTGACTGTGATTATAGAATATCAGTGACAAAGTCACAATTACCGATATTTCACTCATCACT